AAAGGGTCATGACAGGCTCCCCGGGGGCAAAGGGCAAGGGTCACATGGGCGGAGACTCACCCTATGGGCTCCTTCCGGGTCAAGGTGAGGTTACGGTTGGGCCGGGCATGGTTGATGGGGATCGTGGCGCCCTAGAAGCGGCACAAGGGAGGTCACTGGAGGAGGCCGGGGCCCGGGACGGGTGGCCGGGTCCCCCACTGTCAACCCAGGTAGGGATGACAGGGCAGCTGGGAGCTCCAGGGACAAGCGGCTGTGGGACGTCCTGGTGACCCCAGAACTGGGTTGGGGTGACCCAGGAGTGCCTGGAATGGCCACTGGGGTCCCCCCCGAAAAAATCACACTGTTTCCTCCAATTAGTGGCGAAATAGAGTCAGGGCGGCCGGGTGTGGAGGCTCACGCCTGTCATCCCAGCACTCTGGGAGGCCAAGGCAGGAGGATCACTATTGAGGTCAGGAGTTAGAGGCCAGCCTGAGCAAGAGCGAGACCCCGTGTGCACTAAAAAAACTGGAAAGAAATGAGCTGGACAAGTAAAAATAGATAGAAAGAAAAAACGAGCCGGGCGTGGAGGCGCATGCCTGTAGTCCCAGCTACTCGGGAGGGAGGCTGAGGCAGGAGGCTCGCTGGAGGCCAGGAGTTGGAGGCTGCTGTGAGCGAGGCTGACGCCACGGCGCTCACTCTAGCCCAGGCGACAGAGCGAGACTCTGTCCCAAAAAGAAAAAAAAAAAAGGAACAAAATAGAAAAGAAATTATATGGAAGAGAAAATATATTTACTATACATTAAGCATAAGTGAATCGAGGCCAAGTCAGGAGGATCGCTAGAGGCCAGGAGTTGGAGGCCAGCCTGAGCAAGAGCGAGACCCCGTCTCTACTAAAAAAATATAAATAAATGAGCCAGATGAATAAAAATATATAGAAAAGAAATAAGCCGGGCGTGGAGGCGCATGCCTGGAGTCCCAGCTACTCGGGAGGAGGCTGAGACTGGAGGATCACTGGAGGCCAGGAGTTGGAGGCCAGCCTGAGCAAGAGCGAGACCCCGTCTCTACTAAAAATATAAAGAAACGAACTGGACAACTAAAAATATATAGAAAGAAAGAAAAACGAGCCGGGCGTGGTGGCTCGTGCCTGTCATCCCAGCTACTCGGGAGGAGGCCGAGGCAGGAGGCTCGCTCGAGGCCAGGAGTTGGAGGCCAGCCTCGCTCTGCCTCAGAATGCAAACCGAAGCGAGTCGGAGCGACTCCAAGCCTGAGGAAGTGACGCCGCGGCCGGGACAGAGGGGGGATTTGGGGCCAAGCCGGGGGCACAGAAGGGTCGAGGCCAGAGGCCAGAGGCCAGAGGCCAGGCGGGACTTGGGGTCCCCTCGGTCCCCCGACCGCAGGAAACCCCGATCTCTGCACAAACGCCCCGCGGGGAAGGGGCGGGCAGCTCGGGCCTCTGAGCCTCCAGAGAAGGCCGGGCCGGGGCGGAGGCCCCAAGTCCGGCCTCCGAAACCTCGACCCGTGGAACGTTCTAGAAGCCGCGACCCCGGACGCGGGTGCCCGGCTCACCTGGATCTTGTCGCACCAGCCCGCGAAGTAGCGGAAGCTCTGCACGGACATGCCCACGTGCGTCTTGAGGGCCAGCGTGTAGACCGCGCCCGCGTCCAGGGCCTCGATGGCGGCCAGCTCCTCCTGCTGCTGCTCCATCAGCTCCGCCAGCCTGCGGGGGGCGGCCGTGCTGCCTCAGTTTCCCCATCCGAACCGGGGACTCGGGCGGGGCGGCCGTGCTGCCTCAGTTTCCCCATCCGAACCGGGGACTCGGGCGGGGCGGACTTGCCCGCCTCAGTTTCCCCATCCGAACCAGGGGGCTCGGGTGGGACAGCCTTGCCTGCCTCAGTTTCCCCATCCGAACCAGGGACTCGGGCGGGACGGCTTTGCCCGCCTCAGTTTCCCTATCCGAACTGGGGGGGTCCGGTGGGGCGGCCTTGCCTGCCTCAGTTTCCCCATCCGAACTGGGGGGCTTGGGCAGGGCGGCCTTGCCTGCCTCAGTTTCCCTATCCAAACCAGGGCTCGGGCGGGATGGCCTTGCCTGCCTCAGTTTCCCCATCCGAACCGGTGGGTGGGTTGGGGACAATCACTTCGTTTTCTGTTTTTTTGGGGAGACAGAGTCTCGCTCTGTTGCCCCGGGCTGGAGTGAGCGCCAGGGCGTCGGGCTCGCTCACGGCAGCCTCCGATGTTGAGGCTGGAGCGAGCCTCCCGCCTCGGCCTCCCTCCCGAGTAGCTGGGACGACAGGCGTGCGCCACCACGCCCGGCTCGTTTTTTCTATCTATTTTTAGTTTTTTGGCTCATTTCTTTCCCTTTTTTTAGTAGAGACGGGGTCTCGCTCTTGCTCAGGCTGGCCTCGAACTCCCGACCTCGACCGATCCTCCCTCCTCGGCCTCCCAGAGTACTGGGAGGACAGGCCTGGCCGACCGGCCTCTGTTGCCCCGAGCTGGGCGGAGGCCGCCTCCAGGGCTCTGGAGACCCCGCCCAGGTGCCCGGCCTCCTGCCTGGGCCTCCCTTGGAGCACTGTGGGTTGGCAGGCGCTGTTGCGACAGCGGCCACCAGGGGGCAGCAGAGCGCCGCGGGAAAACAGCTCCGCACTCATTCAAGTTCAAGGTCGCGGGTCTGCCTGGTCTGCAGCAGCTGTAGGGACTGTCTGGCACCCGCCAAAGAACTTTCTAGAATCAGCGGGCTCTCCGGGGGTCCGGAGTCCGGGGTGGGCTGAGCCAGCAGCCTCCGTTCCCCAGCCCCGGCCAGCCCCGGCCAGTCCCGGCCTCGAGGTGTCTGTCTGTCTGTCTCCTGGGTGCAAATCACCCCGGTTGCTGGGCCCTGGGTCCCCAACGGCTGCAGCCTGGGGGGGTCTGTGGGCCAGGCCTGTCGTCCCAGCACTCTGGGAGGAGGCCGAGGAGGGAGGATCGCTCGATCGAGGCCAGGAGTTGGAGGCCAGCCTGAGCAAGAGTGAGACCCCGTCTCTACTAAAAAATAGAAAGAAATTAATTGGCCAACTGAAAATCTATAGAGGCTGGGCATGGAGGCTCATGCCTGTCGTCCCAGCACTCTGGGAGGAGGCCGAGGAGGGAGGATCGATCGCTCGAGGTCAGGAGTTCCAGACCAGCCTGAGCAAGAGCGAGACCCCGTCTCTACTAAAAAGAAAATAGAAAGAAATGAGCTGGACAACTAAAAATATAAAGAAAAATAAACTGAGCCGGGCGTGGTGGCGCAGGCCTGTAGTCCCAGCTACTCGGGAGGGAGGCTGAGGCAGGAGGATTGCTTGAGGCCAGGAGTTAGAGGCTGCTGTGAGCGAGGCTGACGCCAGGGCACTCTAGCCCCGGCCACAGAGCGAGACTCTACTTCAAAAAATAAAACAGATAAGAAAGACAGAACGGCAAGAGGAAAGGAAAGGCGAGGGTAGGGGAGGGGAGGAG